AAAACTCACACCCCAGAAGTGACTCGAACCCATACTCCCACAATGGTATGTACAGGGACGCCTTAATCCGCTTGACCATCACGACCGGACATAAGGAAGTGATAGCCGAGGCTATTTGAAACCACTTCCCCGCCGGCACTCGGATGGTAATCTTGGGCATAGCATTTTATCAAATCACCTCATTCTTGGGGCACAGTGAGGAACACACGTGTTTCCACCGAGTGCCGGCGGGGAAGTGGGTCAAATAGCCTCGGCTATCACTTCCTTATGGCCGGTCGTGATGTGTCAAGCGGATTAAGGGTCCCTGTACATACCAGTTGTGGGAGTATGGGTTCGAGTCACTTCTGGGGTGTGAGTTTTCAGTTGTATATAGTCCTGGGGACCATTCAGGCTGGTTTGCATTTGTGTTCCTCACGTGTGCCCCAAAGAATGAGGTGATTTGATAAAATGCTATGCCCAAGATTACCATCCGAGTGCCGGCGGGGAAGTGGTTCAAATAGCCTCGGCTATCACTTCCTTATGTCCGGTCGTGATGGTCAAGCGGATTAAGGCGTCCCTGTACATACCAGTTGTGGGAGTATGGGTTCGAGTCACTTCTGGGGTGTGATTTTTCAGTTATATATATATATATCTATATAGATCTATATATATCTCTATAGATATCTCTATATATATATATATCTATATATATCTATATATATCTATATATATATATATATATATATCTCTATATATATCTCATATATATATCTCTATATATATATCTCTATATATATATCTCTATATATATATCTCTATATATAATATATATATATATATATATATATATATATATATATATCTATATATATCTATATATATATATATATATCTATATATAACTCTATATGCGGAAAATCCACAGAGAAATATGAAATGAGGTGAACGTTTCGGCTTTGTTAAAGCCTTTGTCAACACCAGACTGACAGTCTGGTGTTGACAAAGGCTTTAACAAAGCCGAAACGTTCACCTCATTTCATATTTCTCTGTGGATTTTCCGCATAAAATGATCAGTGTTTTGTGATCGTCAATTGCATATCTCATCTCTCTATATATATATATATATATATATATATATATATCTATATATATATATATATATATATATATATATATATATGTCGTACCTAGTAGCCAGAACTCACTTCTCAGCCTACTATTCAAGGCCCGATTTGCCTAATAAGCCAAGTTTTCCTGAATTATTATATTTACTATAATTTTTTCTTATGAAATGATAAAGCAAACCCTTTTCTCTATGTATGAGGTCAATTTTTTTATTGGAGTTAAAATTAACGTAGATATATGACCGAACCTAACCAACCCACCTAACCTAACCTAACCTATATTTATAGGTAAGGTTAGGTTAAGTAGCCAAAAAAGCTAGGTTAGGTTAGGTAGGTTAGGTAGACGAAAAAACATTAATTCATGAAAACTTGGCTTATTAGGCAAATCGGGCCTTAAATAGTAGGCTGAGAAGTGCGTTCTGGCTATTAGGTACGACATATATATATATATATATATATATATATATATATATATATATATATATATATATATATATATATATATATATATATATATATAATATATATATATAGATATATAATAATAATTTGTAACATGTGATCTGAAAAGAAAGTAGGCCAATTGTAAAAAGTGTTAGGTCATTATGAATTACCAGTTTGTATACTAATGGGTAATTTATATATGTCAGTCATTTGTAATACCATCTAAAAATATATTTTAATATATGAAATGTTTCTCACCTCCGTCGGTATTCAGCCTTTCTGACTTTCCCTTTCTCTATAACTAGATTTCCCCTGTCACTGGCTTTCTTCTTTGGCTTCTCCTCACTCTGGTCTTTCTCTGTTCTCCCAAACTCCCTTCATTCATCACACTCCCTCTCCCTTCCTCTCCCTTCCTCCCTCATGTAGACACTTACCCTTGAGCTGAGCCTTGGATATATTGTGGCTGAGTTGACGGTGGGCAGGCGTGGTGGTCCTCCTCGACCTGTCGAGGTCCTTGGCCCTCACACCGCCCTCCTCCTCCGCTCGTGCCATCGTCGGGTTGGTCATCCTGGGAAGGAAACACCTGGTCAACACCACCGCTTGAACATGCAACAGATGCTTCCTCATCTCTGCTCCTCCACTCAGACTTGAATTCTTGGTTGAAACTCTGACTAACGTAGACTAATGTGAATTAAAATAGGATCTGAGCCTTGTCAGGATGAGCCAAGGTGTTGTAGTGATCTCTGGCTCAAGCAAGGTAAACTAAATGGTGTTTACTGAGCTGCTCGTGGACTCTGGGAGCCCTTACGAGAGCTGTACCTGTGATCTCGGCGGCGCAGTATTCACTCAGCAGCTTACGAGCCCGGAAGCGCCACGAGGTCCTCCATAACAGTGACCATGGGGTTGAGGACGACCTCGTACGACCTCGGTGCTCGTAAACTGTTACAGAATACGTAGCCACGATCAGTACAAGATATAAAGACCTCGACTATGAACGGGGAAGAAGCAATATGGAAAGGAAGGAAGGTGGGGAATGAGAGAGAAATAAAGAATAATGGGAGAAAGTTCCTGTCACCACTTCGTTTTCTTATCATACTCACTCGAGTGGTCACTTATCCCTCCTGATAACTGTGTTAGTTAAAGCACTGTGTTTGAAGCTGCGCATTAGTGGGTAATGTGGGACACATTACCCACTAATGCGCAATGGGGCTCTGGTCCAGCAGCTTGCAACACCCGGTCCGGGTACCACGAGGCCCGGGTACTATAGGTGCCAGGGTACCAGCGTTAAAGTTTCATTGCACGATTGATTTTGACCATTTACAACCTTTTAAATTGTTTGTAAACAATGATCATAACTGCCCCCCCCTAGCCCCGACGGGGGGGGGGGGGTGTGCGCCCCCCCCAGCTCCTGATGAAGCGGTGTGTCCCCCCCCCAGCCCCGAGGGGTGTGTGTCCCAGCCCCGGAGGAGGAGGAGGAGGGGGGGTGTGTCTCCCAGCCCCGAAGAAGGAGGAGGAGGGGGGGGTGTGTCTCCCAGCCCCGAAGGAGGAGGAGGAGGGGGTGTGTGTGTCCCAGCCCCGAAGGAGGAGGAGGAGGGGGGGGTGTGTGTCCCAGCCCCGAAGGAGGAGGAGGGGGTGTGTGTCCCAGCCCCGAAGAAGGAGGAGGAGGGGGTGTGTGTCCCAGTCCCGAGGGAGGGGGGGGGTGGTGTCCCAGCCCCGAAGGAGGGAGGGGGGGTGTCCCATTCCCGAGGGAGGGGGGGTTGTCCCAGCCCCGAGGGAAGGGGGGTTGTCCCAACCCCGAGGGAGGGGGGGTTGTCCCAACCCCGAGGGAGGGGGGTTGTCCCAGCCCCGAGGGTGGTGTGTCCCAGCCCTGAGGGAGGGGGGTGTGTCCCAGCCCTGAGGGAGGGGGGTGTGTCCCAGCCCCGAGGGAGGGGGGTGTGTCCCAGCCCCGAGGGAGGGGGGTGTGTCCCCAGCCCCGAGAGAGGGGGGGGGGGTATCCCAGCCCCGAGGGAGGGGGGTGGTGTCCCAGCCCCGAAGGAGGGGGGGGGGGTGTCCCAGCCCCGAGGGAGGGGGGGGGTGTCCCAGCCCCGAGGGAGGGGGGGGTGTCCCAGCCCCGAGGGAGGGGGGGTGTCCCAGCCCCGAGGGAGGGGGGGTGTCCCAGCCCCAAGGGAGGGGGGGGGTGTCCCAGCCCAGAGGTAGGGGGGGGTGTCCCAGCCCAGAGGGAGGGGGGGGTGTCCCAGCCCAGAGGGAGGGGGGGGTGTCCCAGCCCAGAGGGAGGGGGGGTGTCCATTGATCGCGGCCTCCGAGGCGAGCCGTCATCTCCCGCCACTCTCCCCGTCATTACCTCTACACCTTAAGTGCTTTGTTTAGCCTGTTCCCGTTGCCACTTTATATTTCCAGGACGGTGTACTCTACACTGTAAGCGTGTAGGTAGGTAGGCGGGACCAAAGAGTCAGAGCCCAACCTCCGCAAGCACAACTAGGCGAGTACACATGCTGGCAGACGTTCAGCATACTCGTGTAAAGCACAGCCATGTAAACTGTTTACATTAAAACCAGTTTATTGAAAGATGTACAGGTTTCGCAGGCGATTGTGCAAGTTGTTGACAAATCCCTAGAGCGACGTGTCCCTTCAGAGTAGAGGGTGTTGAGGAGGAGTGTTGAGCTGCCCCGCTCCAGGTCCTGGCCACCCTCCTGCAGGGCCAGGGGGGGGGGGGTGTCCTGTTGGAAACAACCCGGGTTGATCGTTCTATCAACTCTTGCATGAGAATGACAGCGGGTAATTGTTGCAGAAAGTTGCCACCCGCTGCAGGGAGAGACACACACGGGGCTGCTGCCACCCGCTGCAGGGACACACACACACGGGGCTGCTGCCACCCGCTGCAGGGACACACACACGGGGCTGCTGCCACCCGCTGCAGGGAGACACACACGGGCTGCCGCCACCCGCTGCAGGGAGACACACACCGGGGCTGCCGCCACCCGCTGCAGGGAGACACACACGGGGCTGCTGCCACCCGCTGCAGGGAAGACACACGGGGCTGCCGCCACCCGCTGCAGGGAGACACACACAGGGCTGCCGCCACCCGCTGCAGGGACACACACACGGGGCTGCCGCCACCCGCTGCAGGGAGACACACACGGGGCTGCCGCCACCCGCTGCAGGGGGAGACACACGGGGCTGCCGCCACCCGCTGCAGGGAGACACACACGGGGCTGCTGCCACCCGCTGCAGGGAGACACACACGGGGCTGCTGCCACCCGCTGCAGGGAGACACACACGGGGCTGCTTGCCACCCGCTGCAGGGAGACACACACGGGGCTGCTGCCACCCGCTGCAGGGAGACACACACGGGGCTGCTGCCACCCGCTGCAGGGAGACACACACGGGGCTGCTGCCACCCGCTGCAGGGAGACACACACACGGGGCTGCTGCCACCCGCTGCAGGGAGACACACACGGGGCTGCTGCCACCCGCTGCAGGGAGACACACACGGGGCTGCTGCCACCCGCTGCAGGGAGACACACACGGGGCTGCTGCCACCCGCTGCAGGGAGACACACACGGGGCTGCTGCCACCCGCTGCAGGGGAGACACACACGGGGCTGCTGCCACCCGCTGCAGGGAGACACACACGGGGCTGCTGCCACCCGCTGCAGGGAGAGACACTCGGGCTGCTGCCACCCGCTGCAGGGGAGAGACACAGGGCTGCCACTCGCTGCAGGGAGAGACACAGGGCTGCCACCCGCTGCAGGGAGAGACACTCGGGGCTGCTGCCACCCACTGCAGGGAGAGACACAGGGCTGCCACTCGCTGCAGGGAGAGACACAGGGCTGCCACCCGCTGCAGGGAGAGACACTCGGGGCTGCTGCCACCCGCTGCAGGGGACAGATAGAGCTGCCACCCACTGCAGGGAGAGACACAGGGCTGCCACCCGCTGCAGGGAGAGACACAGGGCTGCCACCCGCTGCAGGGAGAGAGACAGGGCTGCCACCCGCTGCAGGGAGACACACAGGGCTGCCACCCGCGGCAGGGAGAGACACAGGGCTGCCACCCGCTGCAGGGAGAGACACAGGGCTGCCACCCGCTGCAGGGAGAGACATTCGGGGCTGCTGCCACCCGCTGCAGGGAGACACACTCGGGGCTGCTGCCACCCGCTGCAGGGAGACACACTCGGGGCTGCTGCCACCCGCTGCAGGGAGACACACTCGGGGCTGCTGCCACCCGCTGCAGGGAGACACACTCGGGGCTGCTGCCACCCGCTGCAGGGAGACACACTCGGGGCTGCTGCCACCCGCTGCAGGGAGAGACACAGGGCTGCCACCCGCTGCAGGGAGAGACACAGGGCTGCCGCCACCCGCTGCAGGGAGAGACACAGGGCTGCCGCCACCCGCTGCAGGGAGAGACACTCGGGCTGCCGCCACCCGCTGCAGGGAGAGACACTCGGGGCTGCTGCCACCCGCTGCAGGGAGAGACACTCGGGGCTGCTGCCACCCGCTGCAGGGAGAGACACTCGGGGCTGCTGCCACCCGCTGCAGGGAGAGACACTCGGGGCTGCTGCCACCCGCTGCAGGGAGAGACACTCGGGGCTGCTGCCACCCGCTGCAGGGAGAGACACTCGGGGCTGCTGCCACCCGCTGCAGGGAGAGACACTCGGGCTGCTGCCACCCGCTGCAGGGGACAGAGCTGCCACCCGCTGCAGGGAGAGACACAGGGCTGCCACCCGCTGCAGGGAGAGACACTCGGGGCTGCTGCCACCCGCTGCAGGGAGAGACTCTCGGGCTGCTGCCACCCGCTGCAGGGAGAGACACTCGGGGCTGCTGCCACCCGCTGCAGGGAGAGACACTCGGGGCTGCTGCCACCCGCTGCAGGGAGAGACACTCGGGGCTGCTGCCACCCGCTGCAGGGAGAGACACTCGGGGCTGCTGCCACCCGCTGCAGGGAGAGACACTCGGGGCTGCTGCCACCCGCTGCAGGGGACAGATAGAGCTGCCACCCGCTGCAGGGAGAGACACGGGGCTGCCACCCGCTGCAGGGAGAGACACGGGGCTGCCACCCGCTGCAGGGAGAGACACAGGGCTGCCACCCGCTGCAGGGAGAGACACAGGGCTGCCACCCGCTGCAGGGAGAGACACAGGGCTGCCACCCGCTGCAGGGAGAGACACAGGGCTGCCACCCGCTGCAGGGAGAGACACAGGGCTGCCACCCGCTGCAGGGAGAGACACAGGGCTGCCACCCGCTGCAGGGAGAGACACAGGGCTGCCACCCGCTGCAGGGAGAGACACAGGGCTGCCACCCGCTGCAGGGAGACACACAGGGCTGCCACCCGCTGCAGGGAGAGACACAGGGCTGCCACCCGCTGCAGGGAGAGAGACAGGGCTGCCACCCACTGCAGGGAGAGACACAGGGCTGCCACCCGCTGCAGGGAGAGACACAGGGCTGCCACCCACTGCAGGGAGAGACACAGGGCTGCCACCCGCTGCAGGGAGAGACACAGGGCTGCCACCCGCTGCAGGGAGAGACACAGGGCTGCCACCCGCTGCAGGGAGAGAGACAGGGCTGCTGCCACCCG